GCAGCACCATCATCCGCTATATGTCCGACCTTGAGGGTTACAGATTATTTGATTGTCAGCCAACCACCAGATGAAAGCTGTCTTATGCGATATTCCTCAGACAGTTAGTAATATAATCTTACACTAGTTTCTCTTTCGCCTCTTACTCTCTGGGGGCGGTGGGGTAGCCTAATGGTTAAAGCGTTGGCTCGTCACGCCGAAGACCCGGGTTCGAATCCCCACATGGGCACAATGTGTGAAGCCCATTTCTGGTGTCCCCCGCCGTGATGTTGCTGGAATATTGCTAAAAGCGGCGTAAAACCAAACTCAGTCAGTCAGTCTTACTCTCTGACTCTTAGATAAATGAAATTACCCACACTTCACAAAATGGTTCCAGATAATGTCGCAGGCAATTTACCGCAATGTTTACTGCAAAAAAAACAACAACAAAAATTCAACACAACAATCAAAACAAAATAAACGAAAGGAAAAACAAAACGCAAAACAGGTTTTGACGGCGTTTGACATTTCAGCATCAATAGGTGTTTGGGGAATCTGAAATTTTATCTACGCTCATGAATTTACATCAATGAGAGATTGTAATGACACTGGGGAAAGTAAATATTGGCCTTTAGTAATGGGTGCGACGTGTGGAGTGCACGTGCTGCACGTGTTATCAGTAACAGTATACAACCTTATATACTTCCTTGGGGTTCGCCTCCGTGGTGTAGTGGTTAGAGCGTCCGCCCGGAGAGCGGAAGGTCGCGGGTTCGATCCCCGACCGCGCCATACCAAAAGACGTTAAAATATGGTACTTGTTGGTCCCTGCCTGGCGCTCGGCATTAATGGGTACAACAAGGACTGGTCGGCTCGGAGTCAGTATAATGTGTCTGAGTGGGGTATTCATGCTTCACTGCGGCATGATATCTCAGTGGGCTAGCACTATAAAAACAGCTTAAATCTGGGCTTGTACAAGCAGCCGCACATACACATACACTCGCATGCACGTCGTCATATGAGCGAAATATTCTCCAGCACGACGTTAAACCCAATTCACCTCACCTCACCTCACTTCCCTGGGCATTGGTCCAGGCACCGAAATGCCACCTCTGCTATTTATCCCTGTCAGCCAGTACAACGTGAAACAGAGTCCCCGTGAAATATCAACCAGTGGTTATAGATATTTATATTTTAGAGACGCATCCACCGTTTTATCACCACGCTTCCTTGACTCGAAACCCCAATGGTGAAAATGATCGGCTTTCCATTTCATCAGAATGGAAGCGCTGAACCCATTTCATCTGAATGGAATATGGCTGATCTATAGGGTGTGTGTAATCCCCTTTTTAGCGTAAATGGTACACACTGGGGCCTGTGCTGGAAGCCTAATTTAGTAATTGGTGCGTGTCTATTCGCTGTGGCACTAAGCACACACGTCGACATTACTGTTAATGTGAACTGTTTTTGTAGTTGCCGTTAGCAGTCTTTCTGGGATATTGCTGACCTCATAGAAAGAGCCCGAGTAGTATTGATGCCACTTCGTGTTCGCCGTTTCCTGTTTAAGCAACATCAATGCTGGGTCTTTCATGTTTGGGTCGTCAGCGTTGAAGGCTCCATATGAATTGAACACGCTACAGCCTTTTAAACACGATCCCAGATCAATGTCATTTTTGACTCCCTGGACAAACTGGAGCCTTTTACTCCTAACTCGTCATCGCCCCAGGTTACTGAATGTGTTGAATAACGACATAAAACAGTAATAGGGTTCATCAAGAACTATTATATGTTTTGTCGTTGAATGTAGGGCAAGGGATCCCCAGTAATCTGTCTGTAAAGAGTTATGTCCCTTGGACGCACTTGCATCCGCTGATACCAGGTTCGGATCCTACCTTTGATCAATGAGGGTTTGGTTTGTCAACACCATGCAACACACCAAAGTGACCTTCATCCATGACGTACATCTTTCTTCAAAGGATCGGTTGGGTAGCTTTGTGGGTAAAATGTTTGCTTGTCACGCGGGAGGACCGGGTTCCACTCCCGACATGAGCAATGTGCTATTTCTGATACACCCGACGTGATATTGCTGGACTATGGCTAAAAGATGCATAAGAGCATTCTTACTCACTCTTTCTACAAACTCATTGAGGAAAAAAATCGTTTGTGCAAATGTTCTGGATATGAGACAAGGACCCATTATTTTTCAAATTAACATTCAAACGTGTTTTGTGTGTGTCATATTTTGTATATATATCATCCTTTCACGCCTGACGCGATATCAGTCCAGCCATGCGAGGGCTGCTTGTAGAGTATGAACCAGACACACCAATGATTGATGTAATGAGCACCAGAGTTACAGTGACACGCTATCGACCACATGCTCTTGGTCACCTCTACGGCCAGCATGGCTGGGACCACATCTAACATCTGGACGTGTGGTATATGTGTGAGTGGGTATCTTTCCAATATGGATATCAGTGGGATGCAATAGAAGTGGAGGGATGCAATAGAAGTATATACCACTTGTGAGTGAGTGAGTTTATGTTTACGCCACTTTTAGCAATATTCCAGCAATATCACGGCGAGGGACACCAGAAATGGGCTTCACACATTGTGCCCATGTGGGGAATCGAACCCGGGTCTTCGGCGTGACGAGCGAACGCTTTAACCACTAACCGGGTCGGTTGTTTTATGGAAGTTTTATGCTAAGATCCGGGTTAGAATATTGATCTTCAGTAACCCATGCTTGTCGTAAGAGGCGACTAACAGGATTGGGTGGTCAGGCTCGCTGACTTGGTTGACACATGTCATTGTATCCCAGTTGCCGTAGATCGATGCGCCTGCGGTTAATCACGAGATTGTCTGGTCCAGGCAATCATTTACAGACCGCCGCCATACAGCTGGAATATTGCTGAGTGCGGCGTTAAACAACAAACCAAGCAACCAATCTTTGCTTGTATACTTCCCAGGGTGCTGAGAATGAAATGTGACTGTACGCTGCTCCAACGACTGGGATAATAGTAAGCATTGGCATTTACGTTGCGAATGTATGTGGAATATGATTAATATTCTTGTTCTTTTGATATTATTGGTGGTAATAATAGGAATAGTATAGAAACATAGTTCAACGTGACGGTGGTCGGAAACGGTAATCAGCTCACTGGCACGGGCATAGTACGACCAATAATTCAGCACAACCAGTCGGTTTATTTAGAGCGCTGGACCAGATGCCACTGATTTCTTTTGGTGGGGGGCGGTGGGGTAGCCTTGTGGTCAAAGCGTTGGCTCGTCACGCGGGTTTGATTCCCCACATGTCTTGGTGTCCCCGCCGTGACACTAAAAGCGGCCCAAACCATACCACTCACTCTTTTTGCTTGGACACTCTCAAACACCCGCCGTCTATCTGTTAAGAAGAATCGAGTCTGTGTCTTCACGTAATCCCAAATTTCTTCATTTCAAATCAGCGACGTATTTTTCCTTTGTTTTGGACATTATATTTCGATATGCCTTGATGGAAATACTTTATCATGATGCTGGCAATGAAACACTATTTTTGTTTGAATAGAGAAAATACGACATTGCGGAAGAAAGAGGAACTCTTGCGTCACAAACTTGCCAACAACATACTGCGTTCTAGGAAAGGTTCCCCCAGAAATGATCCAAGTTCCAACCAGGAGTCCAGTACATTCATTCATTGCGCAAGAATCGACACTCCACTCAAATTAGAAGCAAGAAAATACTATTTCAAATAGTATAATAATACATAATAATAATAAAATCATATTAAAAAAATGAAATAACAAAACAAAAAAACAAACAAACACAAAACACAAACCAGAGAGAACCACTTACGTTAACTTGAATATTGGGTTCTTGCGTTTTATTTTGAGTGGAACTGCCTAAAACTGCCTCACTGCCTAAAAAGGTGAGTGAGTCTAGTTTTACGCCGCACTCAGCAATATATTTTCAAAGATATGAAGATCAGCATGAGGCTACTAGGTTACAATGTGGTCAGGTGCGGTAACTTGATTGACAGCGTGACCCCTAGTCTGTCTCACAGTCCCTGAACCACATTAATTTCCCTACTGCCAAGCCCTCTCTGCAGTGCTAAAGCCCTAAATAAAGCAAGTCTAGATTTCCTCAGGTTCTGAATCTCTGGTCTCCCTAGGGCTCCTTTTCAATATAAATGGGCTTGTTTGTTACTATCAAAATTATATATATTCAGAGACTAAGCCTTAGTCTACGTGACCCCCAATGCTCGGATTATCAATCACCGGTCAAGCTGGTCCAGACTACATTCAGACCATATTCATACCGATGGTTGCTGGGTTCGACGTAAACATCAAGTAAAAACATCACACAAGTCGGTTCCTTAAAACTGAAGAAAAAGAAAGTGTTTCGGTCGGATGAGTCAATGGTGGTTTCGACATAATGTCTGATATTACCAATCCCAACTTTGGGGAGGGGAGAAGGGTGGAGTGCGTGTGTGAAGGGGTTGCAGGTATTTGGCAATACATGTACGTGATGCCGATGTGGCATTGATTAATATTTTATCCCCGTGTTATATAACAGGCTTTTGCAACAGGATCGCCCTCAGCACCATCATGCCACTTCATTCACATATCGAAATCGATAAGGAGGGAGTATAGAATAGGCTACACGTATAAGAGCAACCGAGTTTTATGAATCGTAGCAGCGAGCTGTGAGTCTTGATTTGTTTTAAAGACTAGCAAGAACCAAATTTGTAGGATTGCGGAAATCCACAGGATAAGAAGAGTGCCGACGGACACTAAAGGCAATAAGATTGACCGTGACTTTTGAACGAAGACACTTTCAAAGTCTCCCTGTGGGATATGTCGCAAGAGTACAACAGTGTTTGGCCATTATTGCTTAAATGTTGATTAAGTTCATATTATAATCATTGGTTTTGATAACAATTGCGTTTTATGAAAGCCCGTCACTAAAGATAGGACTTGGCACAAAGCGGCCAGTGTTATTGCGCTCAACAGCGTGTATGGCGGATCTATACTGAACAAGACTCTTCGTTACGAACTGCGCGCATAGTTGTGTTGGCGCTGCTGCAGATAAGCCGTGCAGTAGTGTTGTCTGCAAGTGAGGAATACGCAGAATTCCTCAATACATTTCCGCGTGTGCTGCTTACCATTCCATGCAGACGTGACCCAATTGTTACAGGTCAATTCTGTGCGAGCAACAAACCCGTCAGCTTTGAATGGATGACTGTCGTCTGCCATGACACGATAACGAAATGGCACAGGATGAACAAATTTTCACAGCCGTACCTCCTCTACCCCCACGGTACCGATTCCGGGACCTCATCTGGGGGGAGGGGGGAGCGGGAGAAGACGAAAGGTAAGAGGGGGAGAGTGTTATTTACCGTTAGAAGTAGCCTACTACTGCCATTAGTGCCATCGATTGCTGTTTGTTTACATCACAATTAACAGTCCCGTTGCCTCCACTCAGCTTAAGCTATCATAAAATGGACTGCTTGAGATTTTGCTTGGATTCAGTTAGGAAGCGTTTGGTAGGCCAAATAACGTTGAGTTTTACAGAGTACCGTTGTACAGATCTGTGTTGATCGATAATACCGCGGGATGAATGAAACTGCGAATGTTTATATCATGCGGATGCTTTAACCGCATATCGATCTGAGTCTAGAGCCGTCTCCAGCTGCCATAAATCTACGCTAGGTGTTACCTGAATTAACGATGTGAAGACGATTTACATCAAACAATATAACACACACCCCTACTTCACTGACACCAAATCAGCCTTAATTATCTGTGTGGCATAGATACAATTACATTGGTACACAGACTCTCTGTAATATGTTAGTGCTAATTTGTTCTCAGAGGTACCAAAATAGAGAGTTTTATGTTATTGTTTAATGATGAAGTGAGAGTTATCTACTTGTTTAGATAAATGCTCATTGTTTATCGAATGCCAATATGTTTTGTGTGTCATTTTCTTGATATGACATTATTGATAGTGTATATTGTTGAATGAGATTGAATACTTCCCATGTAGTAATATATCTCTCTGCTTCCTAGTTTTCATTCACCTGATGAAGGAGTAAGAATATACTCTGAAACATTGTGTTCCTCAAAATTAAGAAGTTGACATCCATAAATTCTCTCCTGTTGATTGAATACTGACTTGATAGAAAACCAAAATAGCTATCGCCAGGAGTATTATGGATGACATCTTCTTAATCGTGCATTCATGTAGTCCGTCACACAGACCCTGAAGCAAACATATCCAAGAAAGTCCTCACAAGTCTAGAAAATGTGGCAAGTCTAGATTTCCACAGCTTCAGGAAATGAAGAAAGTCTCAGGGCTCCTTTTCATTATATTTTTTTTTTTTTACTATGAGCTTTTTTTCTGTAAAATATGTTCATTTCAGAGACTAGTTGTTAGTCTAACATTAATGATGTTTAAGGGACAGTAAAAGACAGGATGGGTGAGTGAGTGAGTTTAGTTTTAAGCTGCACTCAGCAATATTCCAGCTATATGGTGGCGGTCTGTAAATAATCAAGTCTGGACCAGACAATCCAGTGATCAACATCATGAGCATCGATCTACACAATTAGGACATGACATCTGTCCACCAAGTCAGCGATTCTGAAACCTGATCCTGTTAGTCGACTCATATGACAAGCATGGGTTGCTGAAGACCAATTCTATCCCGGATAGGGGAACATGACAAATGCATAGACAGACAAATGAAGCTGGTTATAAATGATCATTCATAAGTAAAGCCAGTTGTGACATTGTTGTGATTATACAGCTATGAGGAACAGATGGTCAGGACAGGTGTTGTGGAAGAGTGGGCACAATATATATTATCTGTCAGACAGGGTGATAGCTTCCGGGTATATTATTTACCTTTCCATACAGCCCTTACTATTATGTACTAGCCAGGATTAAGTTCCTGTTTCCACATGTTCAGTATGTGGTCAGGCTCACTGACCTTGTTGACATATGTCATTGCATCCCAATTGCGTAGATCGATGCTCATGATGTTGATCACTGGATTGTCTGGTCCAGACTTGATTATTTACAGACCACCACCATATAGCTGGAATATTGCTGAGTTGGGCCTTAAACAACAAACCAACCAACCCACCTTCTCGTGGGGTTCTTTAAGGTTTCCAATGGAGGTGTTTCAGGAAAATCCATATAATTTCAGAGACTTAAATTGAATTATATTTATAGGCCCCAATGTCTTAAAACTGTTGTCTTGAACTAAAGATTGCCCATGTCAAACCAGGTTGTATTTTGATTTTGCATGTTGTCTTTGTGCAGAAATAACACATAGCCTTTAAATTACATTAACAGGTATTTAATCAAGCACCTTATCTGTACATATTTTCAGAAACAATATTCCACTTATTTCACCTACTCCATTATCTAATTCAGTTACCATGGTGATGTGGAAGATGAAAATTAGTGAGGTGATTATTTGAAAAATTAATTTACTGAACCCATGAAGCTGTTGTTCATTATATCTAACTAAGACACACTTTGTTGGAACAGTTTTGTTTCCTCACATATTTTTCTGTTATTATCTAGCTAGACTAAAGTAAATTAGTCTGGGAAATCAACATAACAGCCTTTCATGTGTTCTTGCTAAACCCATGTTTTTTTCACACATGATTTTTCCTAACTGCACCAAAATCCTTCATATTTGACAGGTATATAGATTTTTCAGGATTATTTGATTACATTAGGATATTAGTACTATGCTACAACAAATAATCTCAATGAAATTATGATATTAGTTTGGTATTGTAATATTTTTAGAACAAGAGAATATTTTGGTTGGCAGTGGTCCAAGGTTCCTTGGAACTCTATTGATACACGTTGCATGCATTTGTGTGAGTACACTTGGTGCTTTGCCACAGACAAGGTCAGCGCTGGAGAAACAAAGGGGTGTTATGTGGACTGGGAAATTACAGAGTGGTTCCATGCGGAAAATAACGGAACTATACTCATCACTATTTACAATTGTCAGGAATAATTACATTTAATGAATCATTTAATTTTATTACCTTCAGGAATAGATACTAGCTTGAACTGGTACAAAAGTAAATAAATGAAAGTTTATAAAATTATTCCATAAGATATCTTGGTTAAGAGCAGTACCCTTTGTATTAGGGATGTCACGATACATAAGTTTCATGAATCGATATGTATCACCATACCCATGTCACGATTTTATGCGTATCACGAAACCTATTTTCGTGGCATTATTGCGTAAATTTAGTTACATTTTGAACATTAATATTTTATATTTAAAATTATCTATGAAATGATCAACATTTTTGATTCACAGAGATTAAAAGTTCTAATTTCCCATCTTTGTGCATGAAAAATAATCATTTATAACTCTCATGACATCAAAAAACATGATACAATTGCAAAATGTAAACGATACATAAACATATTTTAAACTGATACTTTCAAAACTAAATATTGATACAGTTTTGAATGTATCGATAATTGTATCGTCTTAGAAAAAGTATTGATGCATCGTGGCATCCGTTCTTTGTATAATTTCCTCTAAAGAATAATCTTGTGTTTATGAATCACAATCAAATAGTAATTGTAGTAGTTATTTGTGAAAGGTGAGGATAGCCTGCTCTACCAATGTATTCATCACCAATCACTCGTCTCACATTCCTTGTTTGACACACGTCATGTTATCCCAGTTGGGTAGATCGATGCTTATGACGTTAATCACTGGATTGTCTGGTCCAGACTTGATTATTTACAGACCGCCGACATATAGCTGGAATATTTCTGAGTGCGGCGTTAAACAACTAACAAACAAAAAGAAACAAACATCTCACATTCAAAGGCAACTTGGTTGTGTGCTGAAAAAACCCATGGAAACCTACGGTTCAAGTCAAAATTGTGAATTATATTGTGTAGCATTTTTGTCAGTCAAGGTCAGAATGGTAAGGTGTCAGAATTGGAAATTTCCTCCACATGTCTACCATAAACCTTTTCAAAGCGAACTGAGCTCTTGAATACTAGAGCCATGATCAAACAACTTTTTGAGCAAGACACATATGCTGTTTGAAAACTTAATGGAAAAAGCAAGTTGTTAAATGCAGACACCAAAGGCTGGTGCTGTTGGAATATTACTCTTCTAGAATACTGAACTTTTTACTGGTACAAGGTAGACATGGAATCCGTAAATCATCGTTTTTAAACGGCTTTGTGATGATAAGTCTTGTGTTAAGTATAGAACCTTATTGCAAAAGTATCGAAAGTCTTCACTTTCCCCAGAAACAAATTCTATTTGGTGCAAAGGAAAAAGCAGCTTTGAAAATTATATGAATGGATCACTGAAAAACAGTGATGACACCAGGTGTTCGCTATAGTGGTAAGCATGTCCTGTCCTACTGGTAGCAATGACCATTCACTAAATTCAATAGAAAATGGCTGGATGTGTGATTTATACTTTTCTTTCTGTTGCTATAGGTCAGACAAAAGCAAGGTAATGATCAACAAAGGAATGAGAAATGATACAGATATTGTATTCATAATTGATGCATCAGTATGCATGATAAACTGACATATAATTTGGTCCAATACTTTTATTCATGGGCAATAAGTCTGCAGCCAATGTATAATTAACTAATATTTGTATTGATGTTGGAATAGTGAGTGACTAAGTTTGGTTTTACACCACTTTTAGCAATATTCCAACAATATCATGGCAGGGGACACCAGAAATGGGCTACACACATTATACCCATTTTGGGAATCAAACCCGGGTCTTCGGCATGATAAGCGGATGCTTTAACCACTAGGCTACCCAACCAACCTTGATGTTGGAATAGAGCATGGCAAGTGTAAGGCATGTATCATTCTGTTTATTGTATCATCTCATTACCATCAAAGTGTATTGATATATCTGTCACAGAGTGGATGATAATCTCTTCTTCTTCTTCTTCTTGTGACAGTGAATGCACAAAGCGTTGCAGAGTTCCATGAACACACCGGGGATGAGCTTAACACATTGTGCCCATCTGGTGAATATATACCAAGTATTCCACAGCATCAGTAAATACTTGAACATGTTGAAGCACTAAGTGCTTCCTTGAACACAGGGTCTTCATGACCACCCTTTTGCACTTTGCACATCTTGGTTGGAGCTGACATAGAGGACAAAATTCAAGAAAAGTATTTAATTTATATGTCACTGTCAGTTTAATATTAGAGGAAGCCGTAGATGTAGATATAGGTGTGTACTACTTCGGTAAAACCTAGGAGCATATATGGTGCTGACCTAGTGTCATAGTCAGACTAATTTGAATCAGTGATCATTGGTTCCTGGCACA